CCTTAAGGAAGAGTTTCATCCCCTCCTCAAGACAATTAGGAGTAAATTCTGGCACTGGGTGCAACACAAAATCAGTAAACAGTTGATGTCAGCAGAAAAAGATTTATTTTATTTTACAGTTCAGTTAAAACCTCAATCACAGAAGGCAGGAAACAAAGAGAGGCTTTAAGCTTCAGGGTCTCCAAAGCTAAAACATAAACTAAACATCACCTTTTAACTAGAAAATAAACACTTTCAATAGGAGAACTGAAAAAGGTTCAACACCTGAACTGCCTGTCTAACCACAAAACAGGAGAAAACAAAAAATAAAAATGGCAGCTTCCACTGTGAATAGAAACACATTACTTTAGTTAAGACCCTTAATTCTTCCCAATAAAGCTGCAGCTAAATCACCTAAATCCCCACAAACAGTCAGCAGACAAACAAGATCATTGCAGATCAATAACCAGGGAAAAAGAAACCTGACAGCTGGTGTAAATGCCCATTTCATTGTATGTTCTAGTTGGGGTTGTTACCCATAGTACCCAGTAGGGGCACTGTAGTTCAGATTTTTGTCCAGTCGGTGTGGGTCTCCTGTCAGTCAGTACTTTGGGCCGAAATACTTATGGACAGGAGGGAGAGGAGAAGCATCTTCATTTTGTGGACTTTGCAGCCCTCGGACGGCGGAGCGAGGTGCTTTTTTGGAGCTTTATTTGGTGAAATAGTTTCATAAAACTATTTCATGTTTTATGAAATAGTATTCATAAAACATTAATACAATTCATGTTTTATGTGATGTATTCATGTTTTGTGTTTTTTCTTTAGTTTTCATGGTGACTCAAAACTGGTTTCAAACCCAATAAAAGTGAACATACTGCACCCGTCGAAGCTCTCCGTGTTTTCTTGGGTCTGAGGGACTGCTACAGCTGGACTGAAGCTCTTCACTGATGAGTTTACATTTCACCTGTTGCAGCCAGGTAGAACTGAAACACACAGAGAGCGAAAGAGAGAGAGAGACCCTAGAGGTCAGAGACCGTAACCCTGAAGCTTCAAATAAACAGACGAGCAGCAGAGGAAATTAATTTGTAAACTATTTAATCTGGTGGCAGGAATGGAAAGAAATGACTCAGAGTATGGACCTTAACACTTAATACAGTAACTTCTAAAGTGATAGAAATATCATTACCTTTGATAAACTCTATTTCAATGTTTATCAGTTTGGTTAATCTCAAGTCTTTAATATTTCTTTCTCTTGTATTTCTATGAAGTATTTTACTAGAGTAAATCATCCATCCATTTTCTAACAGCCTGGTACCCGGTGGTATCAGGATGGATGCTGGTGTTGATCTACAGTGAACGTTTTGGGCGAGAGGCAGGATCACCCTGGGGTCACCCTGGATAGACAGAAGGCAGTCTTGCTCAAGAATATGTAAAATTATGAATATCTGATAGAATTAGGGAGAATTTTTCCTCTGACTGTGGAGTTTGTGAGTTTGAGGACCAACATCTTAAGTTCTGCATCGACCACATAGATGCTGCCATTAAAAAGCAAAAACAACAAAAACTTCCACTTTCGGGTCATTTGTTGCAAATATCTGAAAAGAACTGGGTGATAAACTGGTGATTTCCCAAGATGCTCTTGATGCCTTCTTGATTCTGAACGATGCTGACCAGGAACTATTTGCTCAGTTTCTCACTGTGTCTCTTGAGGAAATGACAGAAGCTCTTAGAGTCAAGTTTAGATCCACAAGTTTTGACAAAACTCTCAGTCCTCCATATGAAACCAGAGAATGAGATTTTCACCAGAGTGATTGGATGTGGCCAACAGTGTCCATTCTGTACATTTGCCTCCCTGCATCGACCAGAAGGTTTAGGTGTGTTACTTTCTTTACACTAAAATAAACTCTCAACAGACTTCTGCTCTTCTCTTGTTATCAGAGATTCTAGTTTTTTGCAGTAGTGCCACAAATGATGAATTCCATCCTTACAAAGAAAATAAGAAAATATTCTCAGATTGGAAATTTGTCCAGACATGAATTTGAAGGCATCAAATTATAGGAAATATGTGATGGCCAAATACAACAAGGAATTTGCAAAGAATGTGATTCAGGACCTGCTGACATTTCTGATTATTGGAAGAAAATCACAAAAAGAACAGGCAAAGAAAATCCTCAAATAGTCATTCCACATCAAGTGAAATATAAGTAATGCTTAGTTATAAGAACACAATTATTTCAGTTATTATTTCCCCTTTTTTGAAAGCAAACCTAATTTACATTTGGGGCTCATCTCTTTCACTGAAGACAAAATAAAACACTTAAAGTCTTTTTTCCTATATCTCTTTTTTTCAATCAAAAATAATTTATAGGTAATGCTTTTTTGTTCTGTTTCCTTAGATAACATTTGACCAAATGAAATACTAAGAAGACATGTTATGATTTCAAGTTTCTCTATGAAGTGGGTTATTTTGGGATTATGTTTTGCCTTGTTAGGATATTTGTTGTCCTTCAGTTCTATATTAATAAACTGAATTGAATCTGGGAACTACTTTGTTTTGTTTCTTGATATTTGATGTCAATGTTTTTTATCTTAATCATAGTTATTGTTTGCTGTGTCTGTGTAACAATCTTATTTATACTCTCTGGAGTTTTTATTTTCAATGTTAATAGTTTTATCCTTGTGTGTTAACAAACTCTTTCTCTTCAGCTCCTTTGCCTTTGTACTGCGGCTCTCAGTTGCTTTGGTTTTGCTCATCTGGTTCCCATGTCACCAATTATACCTCCACATTATTTAAGTTGTCTGGTTTCTGTTGGTTTACTGTTCTTCTGGTTTTTATGGTTAACTCTCAGTCGCTCCAACTCATGCTTTCCTTCATCCTGTTGTATTTGGGTCGACTTCCTCAGTTTTCATTCTCAAATATGACTAACAAATCCAGCTCAACCCAATTGCTTCACATAATCCTTTTTAGTTACACTTCTGTAGGATTTGATGACTTTGTGTTGTTTTAATTGTGCTAAAAATATATGGTTTTCTCTTAAACAAAATTAGCTGAATTTTAGAACAATTCATTTTCTACCTTTTCATAAAATAAAATTAAAAGAAAACAAATGCAGACCTGTTCTCGGCATTAGCTGTAGTTAAAATTGTTTTTTTCAGTAAATAATATAATAGGTCTTTTTGTTTATGATAAGTTGAAAGTCCAGCTGTTTGGTAGCAAGAAAATGTCCATAAGTTCTTCCTTTCATTTAAAGAATGACTGGATGCCAGTTGATGCTGAGACATATAAATACTGTGGAATAAAAATAGAAAACAAGCTTTCATTCACGTCACATATTGTCAATGTTGCAAATAAGTTCAAGATCAAAACAGGGTTTTTGGGGTAGATCTTGCTTTTCTTTCAGCCCAAGACGCTACACTCACACATCAAGTTTATATTTCAGCTTGTCAGACGAGATGCAAAGTGCATCATAACATTTTGTATTAACAGTGAAAGGATGCTGGAGTTTTTGGACTTGTAGGGAGCGTTTTTTTCCACCAGGAGGAGCCATGAGGAAGCTGTCTGGAGGAGAGTGGTCCCCTTATGACTTTATTCTTGAGTTTGGAGAAAATAATTAAATCTTATCCTGACCAATAACCTCAGTCACACTTGATTTACTGTCCTCTGCTGCGTTTTGTCAAACTTCTTCTCTATGACTGAAGACATTAACTCAAAACATTTGGCTTTGCATCCTCAGCTGTTGTGCTGTGCAGCTATTTCTACTGCCTTGAACACTGCTGCCACCTAGTGACCGGAAGCTTGTTCTTCATCAGTTCCTCATGAATATGAATTATAAAGTCCTGCTTCTCACGACCCCCTTTACACCTCACCTGTCCTGTAGGGACACGGGCCCACTATTTGAAAACAAAACATAAAATTTGTCTGGAACATCATAGAATCACCATAATAAGCAAGAAGAATCAGTGTTCAAGTAGATGGAAGAAGCACCACCATTGGTTACCCTTTATACTGCAAAGTTGATGTTTAACCGTTATGACACGAGAAAGGGACTGAAAACATTCATTTATCATTCTGAATTTGCGATGCAATAGCAGACGAGGTATTTGCATTTTCATTATTTCGACTTTATTAATGGCTGTGGACAATATGTTGATCTAATAAATCAGGATTTTTCTTCTACAACCTTCAAGTAAAAAAAAGGTTAATGAGTCTCTGTGTTTTTATTCTTTACATCTACCAATGAAGGCCAATTAGTAGCCAAGGACAAAATGGTTAAAAAAGGAAAATAAAAAGCTTTCCAATTATATTTTCCTCCTACCAAAACTTCCACAAAGCATCTGCTTCCCTCTGACCCTCTGTTGCAGATTCTGTAGATGCTGACATTTTGCCATAACCTTCTCCAAACTCCACCTCCTCACATTTATCTTTTCAGACAACACTGCTACTATTTTAGGTCAGTTAGGAGAACCACAATTAACCCTATTAGCTAAACAAAAAAATCTAAGACTATTTTCAAACCAAGAGGCTTATATACCTTAAGATCATCATACCAGTAAATAATTTAACAAGTTAATCACATTTGAGTTAAATAGAAGCACACCTGTACTTTACAGCAGACTGTAAATTTCCAGCTTTATTTTTCTTATATAAAAGCTATAAACTTTATGAACCAAGATATCAGAAAGAACTGTGAACCTCTACACCCATTTTTTTAAAGAATTATTTTCCAGAAGCTTGAAGGTCCAATGTTCACTTATATGCAAACCGATGGGAATGCAGAGCCAGCACACCTTCCAGGAAGAGGACAGACTTTTTTTTTTTACCTCAGAGACAAAAGTAGTTCTGTGCAAAACAACAAAAACTCACAAGACCTTGTGACAATATTGGTTGAAAAATAAGTTTTATTAATCAGAGTTCAAAAAAATCCACATAATCTGTTTTTTAATAGAAAGTTAGAGAACTGAATCAATGAACAAAATAAATGTGTCTAAACAAGATTCTCAAAAAGTGTGCCTTGTGTTCTTCAGTTCAGTTTCAGTGTTTCCTGATACTGCTTGCACAGTTTGCCATAGTCATCACCTTTGGTCATGTGCTCTAAAACGTGGCGAACTTTGCTCCCTAAGGAATAGTAATATCGTTTCAATTCCTCCAACTCGAGCTCCAACTGTTTCACCACTTGGTCATGTTCCTCTTCAGCTTCTCTCAGCAGTTTCTCATACTCTGCCTTAACAGCTGTTATTTTCTCCTCCAGTTTGTTCTCATAGTACTGTTTGATTTGTAATTCTCTGTCATCCAACATCTTCATGGTTTCTTCATAGGTGTCATTTGAGTAGAACTGTCCTCCATTGTCATCTACCATCTTCTGGATCTTCTGCAGCAGAGTCAGAACTTGTCGACGATCACTAACTTGGAGGTTGTTGAACAAATGGTATCTGTGTCCAGCTTTCTTTAATATTTCTTTCAATTCAGGTCCAGCATTCTTTAACTTCTGATCAAAGTCTGACTGAACCTCATCTCCATGTGTGAAGAGGATCAGGGTGTACTTCCAGGCCTCCTCTCCAAAGATTTCCTCCACCTTCATCACAGCCTCTCTTTCCTCTGCTGTGAAACGTCCAAATCTGATAACCAGTAGAATGGCATGTGGGCCTGGTGCCGTCATGTTGATGCATTTTGAGATTTCTCTCTTCACTATTTCCTCAGACTGATTGGTGTCAAAGAGACCAGGAGTGTCGACAACAGAAACCATCCATTTGGAGACCATTTCTCGTTGTTTGGAGCATTCGGCGGTCTCTGCAGATGGAAAATACAAATTTATAGGCAAAATTAACAAATATGGAAGTGAATGACATGCAATTAAACTATTGTCCAGGTTCTATATTTCATTGTTACCTGAGGAGTGGTGGGTTGGTGCTCTGAAGGCTTCTCTTCCTAATATGGTGTTACCACTGGAGCTCTTTCCTGCACCAGTTTTTCCAACAAGAACTAGTCTGAAGTCTGAAACTGAACCAACAAAGAATGAAAAGTATTGAAAAGTAAAGAATTGAAAAGTATGGTATATATTTTTATTCATCATAGGTCAACAGAAAATTCGTCTCATTTCCTATTCTTGGTTGAAAATATTCTCAAACTGAAATCTGCCAGCGACATTAATAATTTCTTAAGTGTTTATGTAGCTGAATGTAACGACATAATGGAGGTCATATAATTGAGAAAAGAATAACTAAAATAATTTTTTTCTTACCTTGAGAATTGTATTGCAAAGCTACAGGTAAGCAAATATTAGCATGAAAGTGTCAACAACATTTTTCTCCCAATCTGTCAGCCTTGTTGCTTGGTTGAAGGACTGATATGGTCAGCAGCAAACATGAAAGTCATCCCTGGAAACCAGAGCCTTTCTTGCACGATTTATTCTTTCAATAACATAAAGAATAAATTAATCCCTCAAATAAAACTTAAGCTCCAAGTTATCTGTTCTCACCGACTTTTTACTTTTGTGTTATTGAAAATGTAATTTACATAACTCAGGATTTTCAAAGAATGTATTTTGTGTCTGCGATGGCAACAGATTCCCTCTTTAGAATCGATAAAGTACATGATAATTTGGAACAGCATGTAAACAATATTAAATCAGATGCATTAATGGTTTGTGCACAAATAAATATGTATGATGTTGGAATTTAAGAAATATTTCAACATAGTTCAATGAACAGGGAAGACAATTTCCAGGTATGTTTCAAGAGACTAAATTGCTGGTGTGTCTGTGTCAACAACTTCAACAAAATGCTGTGCACTAAGTATTTTGATAAAATAGCTTACATATTTAATGTTTTTCCCCCCACATTGTGAGTCCCCACCATGATCATTCAGAAATATATGACACTCTGTTAAAATTGATGACATAACTGAGTAAAATGCACCAACATAACAAAATTACATATTAATACATCTTTTTATTTATCCCATGTATTTAATACATTTTACATTATTTTATCTAATTCCTTAGTTGTAATTTTCAATACCAGTATTTAGTTTAGTTTTGTCATTGTGCTGAATATCCTTTAATAAAGACAAAATGCATTAACAGTAACTGAGAAAATAATAATGTTAAACGTAATTTTAAAGTATTTGAAAAAAAAAACACATCAAAACTGAAACTGCAGCTGAGACCAAAACCTGTTGGAGGCAGTGGTGGAGCCAGAGGGGTGGCCGGGGTGGCACTTGCCACCCCTAGTGCCACCCCACTGGAAATGGTCATTTTAAAATATAATACTTATGAGATGGCAAAGATTTGCCAGGAAAACTGTAATTTCCGACTGTCCCTGAAGGCAGCCCGATGCCGACGCTGTTCATTGGTATTGACATGTGGGTCCTGCTTGATCCAAAACACATCAACGGCTTTAGAGTTACACCGTCCAGGAGTTTTGCAGGTATTTACATTTTACCGCTCAGCGGTAACCGCTGTTACCTTCCTAATGAGAGGCGGCACTTGTCATACATTTCTAAAAAGAAAAAAAAATGGTTGTGCACCGCTGCATAATGCCTGGTTTATTATATTAGCCATGCTAGTGCTAATATAATTACATATGTTTTAGTGCACATGCTGCCCTGTAATGTTTTATATCTCCCAGCTCTTGCTTGAAATGTGTGTGGTAAGAATATGAGAAAAACCATTACCAGGACCAGACAGAACCCTGCAGCAGTGACCAGGGCCATACAGAACCCTGCAGCAGTGACCAGGACCAGACAGAACCCTGCAGCAGTGACCAGGACCAGACAGAACCCTGCAGCAGTGACCAGGACCAGATAGAACCCTGCAGCAGTGACCAGGACCAGATAGAACCCTGCAGCAGTGACCAGGACCAGACAGAACCCTGCAGCAGTGACCAGGACCAGACAGAACCCTGCAGCAGTGACCAGGACCAGACAGAACCCTGAAGCAGTGACCAACCTGGAGAATCCAGCCAGGAGACTCCAGGCCCAAGTGGATCACCAGCGGGTGAGAGGCTGTGATAGAGAGTTATTAAGTATTAAAATCCAATAAGCCTAATTCTAAAGGTTAGCATGATGCTTTTTGCATTTTTTATTGTGTCTGTTTATGCATTTCCAATTAAGTTCCAGAGAGAGATGAGGGTGATACAGATTCAGAGTCAGACTCTGGGGAGGAAGACAGTGAAGCAGAAGGAAATGGCACTGAACTGCCCCCACCCAGCACAACCTATTGCACACCAGAAGCACCAGTTTATTTATTTATTTATTTGAGAATTTGTTTTTGGTCATATTCTGGGCTCTGAGTTTACATTTACATGTTCACTCTTCCGTAGTGCCGTTTAACGTCTTGTTTGGTCATGGCAAATCTAAGTTAAATAAACCATTTTAATTTGAGTGTGTGTGAGAAAATATTTGTTTCCTTTCGTTCATCATTTGTATATGGACCCCTCTGATAAAGCCTTGCTCACCCTTTGGCCACCGCTTGAAAAAAAGTCTAGCTCCGCCACTGGTTGGAGGTTCATCTCTGCTCATTCTGCGGACCCGTCCCTTTGCAGGACCGAGAGACAGAAATGGAACCGGTAGATTAGTGCAATTAATTTAATAATAATAGCTAATATTTTCAAATTCCCAATTGGCTACACACCAAGGTCACTCCCTGTAAGCAATTATTTATAAATTTCAATATAGAGGCCTTTTTGTACTGTAATCGAACTCCGTCTCACATACGGGTCAAACGACACATTTCCAGAAATTAGACTCAGGAACCAAAAAGACGATTATATCCTTTTTAGTTATCCGATCATCTGAACGCGTCTTATGAACTATTCAGAAGTTATTCTAAACCAATCACAACAATAAAAACACGTAAAAGATTCTCAAACTCACCTTTCTCTCTGCTGTCCGTCATCCCAACAGCAACACTGTGAAGTTTTATTTCAGTCATTTACTGCTCAGAAATCAGCGACACTTGATCAAAGTTTTGACCATTTCCGGTGATACACCGTCAAAATAAAATAAAGCAAGTAGGTCAATAAAAGAACTATTTTTCTCTCCAAGTGAATACAAACTTAACTAATCATATAACATTTATGAACTATAAATTTGTACCTTAGTATGTACAATGATTCTTTCACCTCTATCTCTATTTATTTTACCTTAATTAACTCCAAATAAATTTATTCACAAAACACATTTGCAAGTAGAATAGGAATGAAACATTTGCTTTTATTTATTTTTTAATCAATATTAATTACTTCAGACAGTAACAAACTGAATTGATTAAAAGTTGAACGAGGAATTTTATTTTGAAAGACGTCAGATGACGTTACCTGGCGACCAAAGTCCACTTTTATAACACCAAGTTGTGATAACTTTAAAGAGGAAAAGGTCCGAGTTGTTGTCGAGACATTCTGTGTTTCAGTGATTTCAGTTCCTCTCATCCTATAAAGAGGTAAGTGGGCTGTTTGCAGGACGCAACAGAACAGATTAAATCTTCCTGGGAGATTTTTATTCTCAACATTCACATGTATGTTTTTTATGTCAGGTTAAAAGACGGAGGAGAAAACGAAAGCTGAGAGATGGAGTGTGTTCAGCTCAGATCCCGACAGGAGACATCTTGAGCCTTAATCGTTTGGTGGAAATCAGTAAGTAATAAAGTTCTAAGTAAGAAAGCTCTGCAGTCATCATAATATCTGTAGTTGAAATAACTCCAGTGTGATCAGAGCAGGGAAGAGATCTACAATATAGAAATTCAAACTATCTAAATATATATATATATATAGTTAAGAATTAAAAGAGGAATAACTTGATTTAGCTCATTAATTCATTCCTCTGATCCCGGATTCTTGAACCTCAATGCGCAGTGAGAAAGAGCAATCATACGACATCAGAAGATTTTAGGTTTTATCCAGAGAAAGTCAATACACAAAGGAATGTTACAATAAGCAATATCACCCAGATTATCAAAAGTCCAAGACGTGACAAAACAGAAATAATTGCGCGAGTTGAAAGAAAGCAATCAAGCACAGAAAATGCATTTTCCGGAAATTGCGAACTCGGGCAGAAAAGCAATTAAAATTCTTTGTTGCAAACGAAAATTTTTATAAGCCTGTGCCTTTCTCTAAATTTAAATATATGCATTAGGAGTGTGTGTTTTTCCTCAGTGGGGGCTGTCTTAATGTTACTTTTATTACCTCTGCTAAAGAGCCCAAAGGCAGATCTATGGATTGTCAAACTGGGTCTTTGCCGTACCAGGCGTCTCCTGCAAACTCTCCCTCGGCTAAATTTACGACCTCTGTCTGTTTTGGTTTTCTGCCTCAGTGATTGAACTAGAAAATGTTTGTGTTTTACTGAAACAAAATCTAATGCTAAATACTAACTATAAGTTTGGATCTAAAACTAACTAATTCAAAACATGCTTAAAGAAATATATTTAATTCTAGTATGGATAAAATTATGTATAAAAAGTTTTAAGATCCTAGTGAACTTTTGAACCATACTAGGAATTTGTTAATTGCCTGGCAGACAGACTCTCCGTCTATAGATCAGTTAAGGAGTCTAGGCCTGTCTTTCTGTAGAATCCTCTTGATAGAATGTATGTAAGTTCAGAGAGTGAGCAGTTATTTTAGTTTGGATCTTTAAGTTTGTCTTAGCTCTGGCGTTCTCCACCGCCTTTGGGGGTGTTTCCCACTTTGATCTCGGGGTTTCCAGTCCATATTCTGCACAGATGTTTCTGTACACTATGCCTGCCACTTGGTTATGTCGTTCCATGTATGCTTTCCCTGCCAGTATCTTGCACCCTGCTGTGATGTGCTGGACTGTCTCAGGGGCCTCCTTGCACAACCTACACCTTGGGTCTTGTCTGGTGTGGTAGATCTGGGCCTCTATTGCTCTGGTGTTTAGGGCCTGTTCCTGGGCGGCCAGGATGAGGGCCTCTGTGCTGTTCTTGAGTCCAGCTTTTTCCAGCCATTGGTAGGATTTACTGATATCAGCCACTTGGGTTATTTGCTGGTGGTACATCCCATGTAGGGGCTTGTCCTCCCATGATGGTATCTCTGGCACCTCAACCTCCGTTTCCTGTTGTCTGAGACATTCACTGAGCACATTGTCTGTTGAGGCTTTGTCCCTGATGTATTTATGGATCTTAGTTGTTTCGTCCTGGACAGTGGTTCTCACATTCACTAGTCCTCTGCCTCCGTCCTTGCGGCTCGTGTACAGTCTCAGGGTACTGGATTTGGGGTGGAACCCTCCATGCATTGTTAGTAGCTTTCTAGTCTTAATATCTGTGGCTTTTATCTCCTCCTTTGGCCAGCTAATTATTCCAGCAGTTCTGATTACTGGCAGGGCATAGCTGTTTATCGCACGGATTTTGTTCTTGCCATTGAGCTGGCTTCTCAGGACTTGCCTTATTCGTTGGGGTATTTAGCTGTGGCTCCTTTCCTTGTGGCCTCATCGAGGTTTCCATTTGCTTGTGGTATACCTAGGTACTTGTAACTGTCCTCTATGTCTGCTATTGTTCCTTGTGGGAGTGAGACTCCTTCTGTGCGGATCACCTTCCCCCTCTTTGTGATCAGCCGACCACACTTCTCTAGTCCGAATGACATCCCAATGTCAGTGCTGTAGATCCTGGTGGTGTGGATCAGTGAGTCGATGTCTCGCTCACTCTTGGCATACAGCTTGATGTCATCCATGTAGAGGAGGTGACTGATGTTGGCCCCATTTTTGAGTCGGTATCCGTAGCCAGTCTTGTGATAATTTGGCTGAGGGGGTTCAGGCCTATGCAGAACAGTAGCGGGGACAGAGCATCTCCTTGGTATATGCCACATTTGATGGACACTTGTGCAAGTGGTTTGCAGTTGGCTTCAAGAGTGGTTTTCCACAGCCTCATCGAGTTTGCAATGACGGCTCTCAGAATCCTGTTGATGTTATACATCTCTACGCATTCAATGATCCAAGTCTGCGGCATTGAGTCATAGGCTTTCTTGTAATCAATCCAAGCCATGCACAGGTTGGTGTGTCGGGTTTTGCAGTCTCGGGCAACTGTGCGGTCTACGAGGAGTTGGTGTTTGGCTCCTCTGCTATTTACACCAATACCTTTCTGTGCCGTGTGTGTTTATCCATGTGTTTGCTTATCTTGGCCGCTATGATGCCTGACATGAGCTTCCAGGTTGTGGAGAGGCAGGTTATTGGTCGGTAGTTGGGTGGGACTGGACCCTTTGATGGATCCTTCTGGATTAGGATTGTCCGCCCTTCAGTTAACCATTCAGGGTGAGTCCCACTTTGTAGCAGCTGGTTCATTTGGGCTGCCAGTCGCTCATGGAGAGCAGTGAGTTTCTTTAGCCAGTAGGCATGGATCATGTCAGGCCCTGGTGCTGTCCAGCTTTTCATACCTGAGACTCTTTCTTGAACATCTGTCACAGTGATGGTTACCGGGGCTTGCTCAGGGAGGTTGCTGTGGTCCTCTTGTAGAGAGATCAGCCACTGTGCATTGCTGTTGTGGGACGCCTCCCTTTCCCATATGCCTTTCCAGTATTGTTCAGTCTCCAGCCTTGGTGGGTCTGCTCTGTTGTTATTACCCTGCCATTGAGAGTACACCTTAGCTGGTTGAGTGGAGAAGAGCCGGTTAATCCTTCTGGATTCATTCTCCCTTGTGTATCTCTTTAGGCGGCTGGCCAAGGCTTGGAGCCTCTGTTTGGCAGTTTCAAGTGCTTCAGGTATGGCATCTGACTGTACTTTCTGGGTACTGGTCTTTTCATTGTACCCTTGTGGAGCTCTGACAGTTGGCTTACTTCCCTCCTTGTTACCTTGATTTTAGCCTCTAACTGTCTTTTCCATGGTGGGTATTGGGTCTCATGGTTGCTCTTATAGCCAAGTATCTCAAGGATCACTGATGCTGAGTTGTAGATCAGCTCATTGGTTTCTGTTATGGTGTTCGTTCTCAATGCTGCATTCACATTCTCAATGAGACTTTCTGATGGTACTTCACTCAGCCGTTGTAATTGGCGCCGAGGAGGCCTGGTTGTCATTCGGGTCAGCAGCTGTCTCGTTCAGCTCGCTCATTGGGGCCGTGTATCCCCTCACTGGGTGGAGACTTGTAGTTAAGTCCCTGACATCCGGGTTCCTCCCTTTTGCCGTAGCATTTGTGTTGTATCTCGTCAATCTCAAGTTGTGATAGCAGTTGCCGTTTGCGGATGTTGGAACACTGAGCTACTAGTTGTTTAGCGCTTAGTGTTGACTGGGGATGGAGGGTTCATGCATTGTTAGTAGTTAAAGTGGGAAACACCCCCAAAGGTGGTGGAGAACGCCAGAGCTAAGATCCTGTGGGACTTCCAGATCCAGACAGACAGAATGGTAATGGCGAACCAACCAGACATTGTCGTAGTGGATAAACAACAGAGGAAAGCCATTGTGGTAGATCACATCAAATCAAATCAAATTAAATTTTATTTGTATAGCGCATTTCAGCAGCAAGGCATTTCAAAGTGTTTTACATCATAAACACAAAAACACAAAGTCATGCATCATAGAATAGACAATACATTGTTACATATTACATTTCAAAAACAATTCTAAACAAGTGTGTTTTTAGTTGCGATTTAAAGGAAGTCAGGGTTTCTGCTGTTTTACAGTTTTCTGGAAGTTTGTTCCAAATCTTTGGTGCATAGATGCTGAAAGCTGCTTCTCCTCTCTTGGTTTTGGTTCTGGTGATGCAGAGCAGACCAGAACCAGAAGACCTGAGAGGTCTGGAAGGTTGATACAACAACAGCAGATCTTTGATGTATTGTGGTGCTAAACCGTTCAGTGATTTATGAACTAACAACAGTATTTTAAAATCTATTCTTTGAGCTACAGGGAGCCAGTGGAGGGACTTTAAAACTGGTGTTATGTCTCTATCTTCCTGGTTCTAGTGAGAACGCGACCAGCAGCATTCTGGATCAGCTGCAGCTGTCTGATTGATTTATTGGACAGACCTGTGA